AGTATTTTCTTGAGACTCCACAGCTGCTTAGATGGTGGACTAACAACAGAGTATTCACCTCCTTAAATTTGATAACTTCCGGAAATAAAACATGGTGGTTAGGTCATGAAACAAATAGAAACCCCCCAAAACATGCCAAATGGATCCATAAGCACCTACTATTTACTACTATAGACAGAAATGTAGCTTAAATACTATCCAGAACCTTAGATATCATATGTTCAATATGTGATGTGAAAATATAGGTAATCAAACAAAACAATGATCACCCGTTATGGTAGACAGAATTCTAAGATGGTTCCCCCAGCCAAGCCAGGTGTGGTAGCACACACTTGGAATCCCATCACTCCGGCAGGGTGAGGCAGGAGGAGTGCAAATTTGGACTCAGCTGGGGCTACTTAGAGACTTAGTGAGTCCTTGTCTCAACATAAATAAAAAAAAGGCTGAGGATGCAGCTAAATGTGAAGGCCTTGGATTCAAACCCCAGTACTGAAAAACAAAAAAAACAACCTACAAAAAATTCAGATGGTTCCCCTAAGATTCCCAGCCCCTGGTGTTTATTTCCCATGATTCAAACACTCATCTAAATTGTTGCAAAGGGATTGTGAAGATGGAATTAAGGCTCCAAATTAGTCAATTTTAAGATAGGGAGACTAAAGTAGCTCAGTGGTACAGCACTTAGCATGTACAACCCTAAATTTAATGCCCAGTACTGAGGGTGGGAGAAGGGGAGAACTATCTTGTGAGGAAAAAAAAAGATATGGAACTATCTTTTGAGGACTGACTTAATGACATGACATGAACCTTTAAAAGCAGTTTTCTCTGGCTGGCTGAAGGATATGAAGTCAGAGATTTGAAACATGAAAAGGATTATCAGTGCTGACTTGAAGAAGGTGGAGGCATAAGTGTAGGTGTCCTGCAGGAGCTGAAAGTGGTTCAAGGTTGACGGCCAGCAATGAAAGGGAATTTGAATGCTATTACTGCAAGGAACTGAATTCTGTCAATAATAAAAATAAGCATGAAAGTGAATTTTTCTCTAGAACCTTCAGATCAGAATAGCTTGGTTGACATCTTGATTTTAGCCTCATAAACCCCAATCATGCTATGTATTTCTAACCTACAGAACTGTGATAAGTAGTAATTGGCTAAGCGCTAAGTTTGTGGCAACTTCTTATGCAGCCATAGAAAACTAAGGTGCCCATTAATGTCACTAGCTAGTTAACATTTTGATGTCTTATAGTTTTTATCTAGGTATACTTATGCCTGCACATACATGTGGGTTTTCTTTTGTCAAAATGGCATATTGTGTGCACTGTTTTCTAACAACTTTTACATATTAAACTTTTTCTCTGAGTAAATAATGGCTATATAACATTATATTCAGAATTCATTGCATCTTTTTTATTAAAAGAAACTTTCTTGGGATTCAGCTGGAAAATGACTTACTAGTTCGTCATTGAGAAAAAGTGAAGAAAACATGGTTTTTCTAGAATATGAAATTTGGCCAGAATCTAAGTTTTCCAGGTAAAGAAGCTTAGTATGCAACAGGAAACCTTTTTCCTTTGGTTTCCAGTTGATACTTATTTGATAGTTTAAAATTCTTTATTTTAATGAGATGGGTGCACTTAATAAACACATTATAAATAAAGAGGTTAATGACAAGTACTTATCACTAGGAGACTCCACTGGGTTTTAGGTCCATGTAGAACAGGTTTTTCTTCTGATACCCAAAATATTCCTAAAGAGGTAACAGCCCTGGTACTTTATTATATAACACCCATTATCAGTTCCTTAAAGCAAAATGTTTCCTGCTTTCTCAGATCTCACTGTTTAACTTGACCGCAGAATTTATTATGCAATATTATTCTCTATTGCACTTAATCAGGGATTAGCTTTTGTTGATTATTATATTCTTGGTACCTGGTGCAGTATCTGGCATACATCAGAAATGTGTCACACAATAATTGCAGTGTATCTGCTTCTAAGTCTGTGTCCTTCACCAAATTGAATTCTTAAAGGGCTGGGACTGAAACATTTATCATTGCAACCCTAAAATTCAAAACAATGACTGATAATGAGACAGGTATATAAAAGTACTAAATTAAATTAAGCTTATTTTTCATTCTGGTTATATAAAAACTTCTCTATTAGTCATTTACTCCTGAGTGGGAATTGGTACCTAAGACACTTTCTGAAACAGGTTTGGAAAAGGAAATGAACATTAAGAAAGACAAGTAATAGAAATCTGAGCACACTAGTCCATTCATTGGCTTCCAAGTGGTTTCACTGTTGAAAGAGCTACTGTTTAGAAAAGCTTCTCTAAAGACTAAGGCAACAAGAAGAACATCTTGTATCTTGATTTTTCAAGGAGAAACACACCCTAAACAAGAGCACCTTTCTGCACTCTAATTTCCTACACACACCAAAAAGGCATTCAAGTAAGCTCAGGACAAATATTTCCCTTATTTCCAATGAGCCAGAGGCACACTCCCTACTAAACAAGGGAGGTGTAAGTTTCTGATTTTTCTTCTAACTCCCTATTTGTAACAAAGCCAACTCTGAGAATCAGAGTACAACTGGTCTTTCATTAGTCCTAGCTGGCTGACTGATTCAGCTCTGTATGTCAGTATAATAACAACCAGGAAGGTAATTTGATTTCTGTATTTGTTGTGTCCTTCCTATTATCTCAGTTTTTAGTGCTACTGAAACAGCCCATTTAATCTTAGCCCACCAGAATCTTATGGATGAAAGGGACCTTTAAAGATTCTATTCAAATTCTTAATGGCTGAATCCACGAGTGTCCAACCTTTTTGCTTGCCTGGGTTGCATTATCTTGGACCACATATAAAATATGTTGAACAACTATATCCCTGACACACAGAAAAGTGCTAGCTATTTGGTCAGCATTGAATAAATAACCACTTAATGAAAAAATCAGTATCTTTCTCAAGACTTGGTACCCAAGTCTATATACAAATATCAGATATAAAATGACACATGCTGAGTATGGTGGGACAATTTTACTTCTAGCCAATGGAGTCTGCTCTTAACATATTTCATTGGAAAAAATATGAGCCTAATGTTTTTCTTTATTTAAAAAATGTATTTGGGGGCCGGGAATTTAATGCAGTTGTTCTGCTGCCTGCTTTGCAAGTGCAAGGACCCAAGTTCAATCCCCAGTACCAAAAAAAAAAAAAAGTATTTGGTTGGGTATGCAGATCAGTGGTACAACACACGCTTCGCATGCGTAAGGTCCTGTGTTTGATCCCTATGACCATAAAAAAACTAGAACAAAAACAAGTATCCTTACTAATGGAAATTACGTGGCTAAGCAGTTATTTAAAAGACTTTTCTGTAAATGGTACAGATATAATAATTTGGCAATTTTCCTTGTAGGGATGGAGACAAATTTGTCATGCTTTTGATATCATGAGTTAATATGGTTAACCATTACAGCATAAGGTAAATCTACTGCTTTTATTATACCACTCCTATTTCCTTTTTTACTTCACTGTAGGCATTTACATAACTGTCTCCTTTCTACTTCTATTTATTTGGCCACAACAGAATTTAATTCCCAGACTTAAGAGCTGCAGTCAAGATCAGTTAAGACTGAGTTGCACTCAGTTTTTCTATTAAGACTAATAGCTTTCAGAAAGTGAAATGAATTTGGTACTTTTCTCTGTACAACAGTATAACTAAATTCTGCTGCTAAAAACCTGTTTTTTTGGTACCAGGGATCGAACTTAGGACCTTGTGCTTGTGAGAAAGGCAGCAGAACCACTGAGCTAAATTCCGGGCTCTAAAAACCTGTTTTTTAAATGCCTTGAATGATGTGGGGATAAAGACCTTTTTTTTTCTATGATAAAAATGTTATCCTCATATCCAGGTTTCTTTTAAATGGTTCTGTCCCCAGACCTTCAATTATAAGAACTTGATTTATTTTATTTTATTTTGTGGTGCTGGGCATTGAACCCAGGGCATAGTGCCTGCTAGCAAACATTCCACTACTGAGTTATATCCTGACTTTAAGAATCTAATTTAGAAGTTACTTGGTTTGTTTACATGGATGGAACTGGAGAATCTTATTAAGTAAACTAAGTCAGGTACAGCAAGGCAAACACCACATCTTTTCATTTATATGCAGAAGGTTAAAAGTACATCTCAAAGAAGAAAAGTGACAGCAGTTACCAAAGCCTATGAAAGGTATGGGAGAGAATATAGGGGGGAGGGGCTGGTTAATGGGTACAGGGATGTAGCTGGATGGGAGAAATAATTTCTAACATTCTATAGCAGTGTTGGCAAACCTTTAGCATGTGTGCCACAGTGTGCACACAGAGCCCTCTCTGTTGGCATGTGAGCTAAGTGTATGAGTTGTTTTTTTCGAAACTAAAATCTCAGTACTCAGGTTTAATTGCAGTATTGGCACTTTGTGATAAATAAGTGCATTTTGGGTTGCAGTTTGGGTACTCAGTCTCTAAAAGGTCTGCCCTCACTATTCTACAGCATCAGTAAGTATGGCTGACAGCATTAATTGAATATTTCAACACAACCAGTAGAGGATTTTGAATATTTCTAACACGGTGAAATAATGAATGTCTGGGGTGACAGACATACCAATTACCCTGATTTTATCACACACGCACACACACACGCACACACACACACGTGTGTATGTATATATATATATGTATATATATATATACACACACACATACATATACATACATATATATACATTGAAATATCAGTGTATGCTACAAATATGTATAATTAGTAGGTATCAATTAAAAGTAGTAATTTAAAAAAAGATAAAAAGAAGTTCCTTGGTGGTTTAATAGGGCTGTCATTAAATGAGAGGTTCTGAACTACAATAAGTCTTCTCACTTTAATTTGGCTCTCTAGTTCAAACAGAAGTTTTGGTTCTTTTTGTAGGCTGGCTAACAAGCACAGCAATCCCATAAATATAGCTTAGTCTCAGTTCACGAATATATACGTACCTGAAAGAAGGTCCTTGGTAGGGGGGTTGTTTGAAGAAAGAATGCATGAGTCACTATGGCTCTTGGCAGCTGTTCTAATATGAGGCAGATATTCAGTACTGTTGAGAAGGAATATCTGCTTCTGTGGAGCTTTGGTTTTTAGACGTACAGATTCTGAACTCTGTCTGGAATTAAAATGGTGTGGCAGCTCAAAGAAAGAATCCTTTATTGTATCAGAGTTCTCTGAAAAGTACAAGTGATCCTTTCCCCTATTTAAAAAAAAAATGAAAATGTCAGCAGTGTATAATCCATTATGGCGATATTCCACTTTGTCAGAGCCAGGAAGAGAATCAGTGATGGCAATGAAGCTTGGACTTCAAAAGAGGTGGCTTATTTTAATGTGATTTTGTGCATCCTCTTTGTATATCTATCTTTTAAATTGAAGGAATTGATGCTCAATCTACATGTGTAGAGTTGTGCCTTATATAAAACAATAAAATAAAGAGCTCAACACAAAAAGATCTGGGGGAGGAGGTCAACACATTGCCTGACACAAAGCCAATGATTCACAAATAATTACATAAAACAAAAATCAAGATCTCACTTTATTCCACTGTTTCACAAAACAATGCCCTTTTCCTCTTTTCCATATGAGTATCTGTCACTTGGCTCATGGCATCTGTTTTTTTGGTTGTTGCTTTGTGGTACTGGGGATTGAACCCAGGGCTTTCACACTTAGCTACATCCTTACTATCTTCTATTTTATTTTTTATTTTGAAGACAGGATCTCACTAAGTCAGTAAAGTTGCCCAAACTGGGCTTAAACTTGCAATCCTTCTTCCTGTTTCCTAGAGTGCTGGGATTCCACGTGTGAACCTCCATGAGCAGTATACTATTTAGTCATATTTACTTGTATAATGGCTTCTCTATTATATTGTAAGTAGTCCTTGAAAACAGGAATTGTGTTTGGATTTTGGCGCTGGATGTGCTAAACATATGTTTTACTGTTAAGCTACACCTACCCCTAACCCCAGGAATTGTGTCTTATTAATTTCTGTGCCCAGTACCTGGTACTGAACTAGGACCACAGAGAGTGCTTAACAGTTATCTGCTGAATGAGCATATTTCTCTTTTCTTTTAGTTTATCACTCAACCACAAATGAAAGGCAGAAATCCTAAGTACAGAGGGAGTTAACTGACAGATAGACTGGTATTAGGTGCTGTAATTACCTTGGTGTGCTTGGTCTACTACTGTTGGCTGCTAATTCGTTTCCATCAGTTTTGATGGTGGGTATCTCATGAGACCTTGATGGAATCAGAAATTGAGTATTGCTGGATTCTGTATTTTTTCTATATCCCTGTTCAGATAAATGGACACTTTGCTTCTTGTCAGTGTGAGGAAGAGGACTGTGGCTGTCATAAGTTTCTGACAGAGGCTCCAGAGCAAGTGAGACCTGAAAGAGACATGTAATATATCAGAAGTTTTCTCTAACATTAACTAATTTTAAGATTCCTGTTTGACATAAATTAACATCCTCCATTCCTTATTAATTCTAACTTTCTGCCATCTTAGAAACTGCATCTCTCACTATAACAAGTTAGCTAAGTCTTTAAATGTACCTCATATTTCATTGCTTTGTATATCTTACTTCAGCATTATTTATACTCAGAGATGTTATATTCACTATTTTCTTCATGTTTCTACTTATCCAGCACTATAACCACCAATTACTGACTACTACAGGTCAGGAACTGCTAAATTCTGTACACAGAGAAGCTTCACTTATTATAGTCTTATCAGGATAAGATATTACAATAGTTTGAAGATTAAAAAAGCAGAGGCTTAGAAAAGATATTTGTAACTTTTACTATCTTGATTTGATTATGAATTCCTTGAAGGCATGAGCTGTTTTCATTTTTCTTTTTTGTTTGTTTTCTGAGACACGGTCTCACTATGTAGCTCAGGTTGGCCTTGAACTCTCAGTGATCCTCCTGCCTCAGCCTCTCAAGTGCTGGAATTACAGGTATGGGCCACTAAGCCCAGCTAGCTCATCTTGCTCTTTCTATAGACTAATAAGTACCACGCGCATGACACTCAAGCCAAACACGCTCAATGGCCTGATGAACAGAAGAATGACACAGCACTTTCTGTGTTCTTATTGTTAGTTGCTTGAGAAAAATAAGTCCCTAGTTTTATGCTGGAGATTAAATAGGGTGAGAAGGAGCATCAACTGAAAAAACAGGTTTCTGCTGGGCATGGTTGCAAGTGCCTATAGTCTTAGCTATTTGGGAGGCAGAGGTAGGAAGATTGCTTGAGCCAAGTTTGGGGCAGCCTGGTCCCCCTCCTGATTTTTTTTATTATTTCATTCCTACAAGTTCAAAAACACTATTAAAAGGCTTTCCAGCCCTCTGAAAAGCTCAATGGAGAATTCCTAATGAAAGAATAAAAAACAGACCCTAAAGCAAAAGTTGGAGATGAAATTAAAGAGTATACTCCTTGAGAAAAGAACAGCAGTGTTGAAAGTTTAATTCCAGTGATAGAAAAAGCAGAAGAAATTGTTTAAGCAGCCAAAGAGAGTCAAAAAATGATGACTGGCCTAACACACACACACACACACACACACACACACACACA